CAGTTGTCTAAAAATTCCCTTATTTTAACTTAAATCTTGAAAAATGGTCATAAGAGTAACCTCATTTATCTCTTTCTTTTATTAATTTATTATTACTAATACTATATACTACTACAAAAATTTAAAAATAATATTTACTATTTTGAAATTAAATTTTAATCGTATTTGAATTGTATATTCTATATATTGAAAAGAATTAATAAATAAACTGAACATGTAAAACCGGGATACCAGTAGCCCTTACGTTTTCAATAAATTATATAATTCTTTAATAAAAAAAATACGTAATTTTCTATAAATAGCATCCATCCCACGGTAGCACCAATAACCATGGCTTCTTCTCTTTCCTTAATGCTTTTCTGCTTCATCTTCATATCATTCGCCATCTCAGACGCTGTTGTTCCACCCGCCGACACTTTTCGGTATGTCAACCAAGGCGATTTTGGAGAAGCCAACTCCGAATACGCCCCAAACTATCGTCCTCTTCCTCCATTCACATTTCCTTTCCAGCTATGTTTCTACAATACGACACCCGGTGTCTACACTCTCAGTCTCCGCATGGGGGTCCGAAATGACGAATACATGATGCGATGGGTATGGGAAGCAAACAGAGGCAACCCTGTCGGCGAAAACGCCACATTCTCATTGGGCTCCGACGGCAACCTTGTACTGGCCGACAGAGATGGCCGGATCGCATGGCAAACCAACACCGCCAACAAGGATGTCGTCGGTTTTGCCATACTCTCCGATGGTAACATGGTGCTTCGTGACTCCAAGGGTGGTTTCGTCTGGCAAAGCTTTGATTCACCTACTGATACGCTCTTGTTTGGTCAATCTCTCCGGATCCGAGGTCCGACGAAGCTCGTCAGCAGAGCTTCAACGACGAACAACGTTAACGGAGCGTATAGTTTTGTGATAGAGCCAAAAAGATTGGGTTTGTATTATAAGAACATGCTTTACTGGTCATCCACGTTCCCGGAAGTGAGCCAACGAAATGTGACTATTGTTAATGCAACATTCGGAATTGTGGAAACCGAATACAATAACGACTTTAATGCACTGAGGGTTCAGCTTTCAAACTCTGATGCTCAACCTTATGTGGACATGGACTTACTCCGATTCAATAACACGTTATCGTATATCCGACTAGGCATCGACGGGAACTTACGACTCTACTCTTATCGTCCGAATGTGGCTTTTGGCATGTGGAGTCTGGTGTTCACTTTATTCGATAAAAGGGAGAACACGAGGGGGGATATATATGAAGACGAGTGCCAACTGCCTGAACGCTGCGGCAAGTTTGGGCTGTGTGAGGACAGCCAGTGTGTTGGGTGTCCGACGCCGGAGGGTGTTTTTGCGTGGAGCACAAAATGCAACGTGAAGTCGCCGTCTTGTAAAGCGGGTGGTTCTCGTTACTACCAGCTGAAAGGAGTCGACCATTTCACTTCTAAATACTCTCCGGGGACTGGGCCGGTGAAGCAGAAGGATTGCGAGAGTAAATGCACAAAGGACTGTAAGTGTATGGGGTATTTCTATCGCACTGATCTATCGAGGTGTTGGATCGTTAACGAGTTGAAAACGTTGACGAGGGTTGGAAACTCGACTCATTTGGCCTACATCAAAACCCCCCTCTAGTAGCTCTGTATAGGTCTACGAGGAACGGGGGAATAAGGAAGATGAAGATTTAAAAAAATACCACAACTTGCTTTTCTAAATTTTAATCTTCCATTACGTGTTTGTATCGGAATTAAATAATATTCTTGTTTTAATATATTAAAATTGTCAACATAAAATAATAGAGTTGATGTTGTTTGTTTTTTAAAATATAAAAAATATTTGCTGTCGATTGTATCGAGTTTTTGTTCATAAGGTGATTAGAAAAAACTATTTTCTATTTTAGTGTAATTTCAAAAATATTTACCTTATTTCTTTTAATATTTGTTTACTTTTCAATTTTTCTTATTGTTTTTTTAGTTTAAATATGAGATTATTTCTTCCTTTCCCATTTATTTCAACTTTTTTTTTTTTTTTTTTTTTTTTCAAAATAGCAGTTTCTTTTATCTTTTATCTTTTATTCTGTTTTTTTTAGTTTAAATATCCATTTTTCTTACACAAACCTTTGATCATCAAATTTTAATTAAACATAATAACATATAAAAGATTATTTAGGTGTTGTTTAATTTTTGCTAAAAAAAATTGAACTCTTATGTCTACTGGCGGAAAGATATTTGAGAAAAAAAAAGTATTTTTCAGAAGAAATCAGACATAAAAAAGTTTTTTGACATCTTTTTCAAATAAAACAAAAAATAGCTCACGATTTTATTTTTTTTATTTTAAAGTTATAACTCTTTATGATATTGCTTGTTCCCCTACTAATGACGCCATCACCACTATCACCACCACGATTATCACCATCACCACCACTGTCGTTGCCGTCATAGCTTCCACCTTTATCACCACCTTCATCCGCACCTTCTCCCACACTACCCTTACCCCTACATCCGCCACCACCACCACTACTTGTGCCATATCCACCACCATTTCCGCCGCCTCAACCAACATCATCGAGTTTTTTTTATAAAGACTTTAAAAAACAAACATTTATCTATGAAAACTAAAGAAATGGAAAAAAAAAACAAAAACAAAGATAAAAAACAAAAACAAAAAAAACTTTTGTACCATATTTTATATCACCGGCATTTAAAAAGACCAAATACATTTACATCATCGAAAACAAACACTATCTTATTGTTGGAAAGTACTCGAAGATACCGGAATGAAGAATTTTTTTTATACGCATTAGTTTAAAATATTTTTTGTTGGTCAATATTATATTTGTGATTTTATATATGTTAGTTTGAAGTTGTAATCATTTACTAAGTGACTAATTTGTAATAGTTTTATTTGCTAAGACCTCTTAAAAATATAGAGTCGATGGTATGAAAATATAAAAAAAGAAAAAAAAAAGTAATAAATAAATATGGATCGTTTCGTTCATAAAAAATTAAACATAAAATAACAATGGTGTAACTAATGAAAAAGATTGAAAAAATAAATTTGCCTACATAATTTCATGGAACTAATTTGTGAGGAAAAAACGGAAAATTACAAGAGATATTTTCTTTTTAATATCTAAAATTTTGAACTAGGGGCAATATTAACAACTCATGAATTTTCAGTGGACTAAACAAAACTACAAAAGTTGGAAAAAATCAATTCCTTAACATAATATGGTTTTCGACGACACACTATAATAGTAAATAGTTTTTTCAATGATCCTATTGTATCCGTAGAAAAAAGGTGGACAATTCCAATCTTTACCGTTCGTTTTTTCTTGAACTATGCAGACTATTTAAAAAAGCTAAACAAAAAAAACTACTTTTTTAACTTAAATGATTTTTGTAATGATTCTAAAAATTATAAAAAGCACCATTCGAAGGATCTGCGTTAAAGATCAATCACGAAACATAATAATATTTTGGATGTGTCATGTTTTGAACATTTAACCTCCGTATTGAATTCCTTTTATCAACCATTAGACCTCATTGGGTATGATAATTCTAGTTTTTCAAAGTCTAATTCATACAACCATGTTTTATGCGTTTTTAGTATTTCATTTTTTACTATCAATATTTTACAAAATTAGACAAGTAGATAGATACTCTCAAGCATCACAACCAAAATTTTGTATATCTTCAAAAGTACAACGAAAACTTTGACATCTGCATCAACCATAATGCTTCATCCACGCCACAATTGCTATGCAAATAATATTGAGAAGAGTTCTGATAGTGTTATAAGAATGTATATGTTGTTTGCTTTTGCTTCTTCTTTCCTAACGCTCGATATGTAAGGCGCCCTATATCAATACCAAACGAAAAGAAAAAACTCAATTACTACAAACATAACACAATCCTCTGGTTATTAATTAATATTTTTCCCAAATCACGCTTCAACTGAGATCACAAGTGGTATCCAAATTCCTCTGTAAAGAAAGCAAAAACATATAAGTTTTTGCTGAATCAATAATATGTATCTTTATATAGGAGATTCTATGTACTGATGCAGGTAGATAATATACCTATCTAATACCAAATATCTTGTGTTGTTACCATGCGTTAAGCTCCACTAAATAGAGACACACCAAAAATACCTTTTATTTTTAATCAAGAAAAAGTATCGTAGACGGAAAAAATCAAATCCATATATATTACATAGGTTTTTATTAAATTAATTTTTTTGTTTATTTAATAAAATGGCTGTTTTAATAATATGATAAACAGTTATATATGTTATAAATTCGATATAATTAAAACAAAAATAACAAAACAAAATTAAAATATCATGAAAGAAAAAAGAAGAGTTGAGAGGAATCTTGATCATTTACAAGATTGTATTTAAGAGGAAAAATGACATATACATCCTATCAAGTTTTTAGAATTTACTCTTTTAGTTATCTAACTTTTTAAGTGGTTTTTTAAGGGAACAAATTTGGTTTTGTCGGGTCCAATACATCTTTATTGAGAAAACGAAGGGGTAACCCGGTTACCCCTCTATCAGCTCACTTATTTTTCTATTTTAATAAATAAATAAAAAAATTAAAACGTCCCATGACATCTAAATCACTCTCTCTCTCTCTCTCTCTCTCTCTCTCTCTCTCTCTCACATTGGCGATGGCAGCCCCTCCCCCAGAGAATAACGATTGAAGCTCCACCCGAACACCCTCTGATCACTTCGTGAGCTACTCACCTCCACAATTGACAACAAGAAGGGAAAACAGTCGAGAGGATTACCGGAGCATCCACATCGTCATCACCTTCGATGCTTCAACCATCGTCGAGACAAGGATGCAAAGGTGCCACCGAAAAAAATGAGCTCTGTCCCCTTCAATGGATTTGCTGCCACCAAACTGAAATCCACCCTTTTTCCTTTGATTTTCTTCCTCCTTGATTGATCGAACTCCTCACAACCACCCCTCATTTGTTGTTGTTCAATTTCTGATGAACCTTCCTTCCCTTCTTGTGTTGCAGTCGGTCGGACCAGAAGAAGAAGGAACTCATCGAACAGCCCCCTGGAGTGTGACACCCCTCCTTATGACCTCCCAGCCATCGCCGGAGATTAACACCCTCCCTTTCTCTCGATTGCCAGCCAACATCAGAGTTTCCTTGCGACTTCGACTGTACATTCCTTACCCAATCGTTGGAGATGGAGATGAACTGCAACCGATTACTATTTTCGTCTTCCTCCCTCGATCGGTGCTCGTTGATCAGCCACAAACAATCACCCCATCGTTTCCTCTTTCCGTCCGCATCAATTTCCCTTCCAGATCTAAAGAAGACGAAGCCCCCCCCCCCCCCCCATTTTTATATATTAACGATATAATGAAGACGATTATTCAATCTGATACCTAAGCAGATTATTGGTGAACAAAGGAAAATGCGGGTGGTGATTGGTTTCTAGGTAACAATTATTCAATTGAGAGAGAGATGGGTGGCCCAATTTTCATCTATGTTTCCCCTAAACTGGATAAAACAAGTAAAAGGGACTAAAAAGACATGTTGCCTACAACTTGATTTCCTCATAAAGCCACGAAAAAACTTAAGTGACTAAAAGGGTCGACCCTAGAAACTTCATAGGGCGTATGTGTCATTTTCCCATATTTAAGATGATATGTTTTTGTCTTTACATTTGATGGGTATTTATACTACATATCATCATATTTATACCACATCCAATAATAAATCAATAGATAAAGAAAATTATTCAAGTGGTGAAATTTGTTCATTTACATGCTTTTTCTAACTCAATAATTTGATGGATTTTATAAAATTCCCCATTGGATGACAAATTTTTCTAATCTAGGTTTAACCTCGAAGTACTGCCTCATCAAAAACATTACTAAAGAAAACTCAGTGTGAAAAAACTATAGTGAAGGGAAAAAGAGTGAAGTGAATAGTTTACTCTCCTCATTTTGACATTTATTACATTATATGCATATGTCACATTATGATTTCGTGCACATGTTTTCTAAAGATTACAATAGGAAGTGACTTTGTGAAAAGTTCTGATGATTTATTAATAGATTGAACATATTTTATCTCAACCTTTTGATATTTTATAAGCCCTTCAATGTACTCAAAAAACTTTGGTGGTATGTGTTTTGTTGTGACACTCTTGATATATTTCTTTCATTTTAGTGACACATGATGAGTTATCTTCATAAATTAAAGTGGGACACGACCCACTTTTTTGATGAAGATTGGGTCATGTACAAAAGAATTATCAGCTTTAAATCTCTAGATAGTCATAAGGGCGAAAACATTGGGCGCACGTTGTTGACTTGTCTTCAAGAGTATGGTATCAGTAACGTAATACCCATAACCATAGACAATGCTAGTGCAAATGATAAAACAATCGAAATTCTAATGAAAAACTACCAAACTTGTATGATAGGGGGAAACAATTACACGTAAGGTGTATGGCCAACATCCTTAACCTTATGATTAGGGATGAGTTTGATCAATACCAATCTAGTAACAAGTGCATGCAAAATGCCTTTAAATACATTAGGAATTCTACACAACGAATTCAAAGATTCAAAGAATGCATGAAAGAAATAAATATGGAATCCAAGATGTTTTTGTGCAATGATAGCCCAACCCGATGGAACTCCACATACGAGTTGTTGAAGATTGCGATGGAGTTAGAAAAGGTTTTTGGCATGTTTAAAGTCGAAGGTAATTTCATACTCCATTTCATTGTTTTTTTTTTCTTTTAATTTCAGTATATTTGCAAATTTTTAGCCAACTTTGAAGCATCATAATGTCTTCGTTATTTGTCCGATTGACCTCATTTTTTTCTAACTTGTAATTCACAATCTAAACTACAGTTTAGACTATTTAAATGCGTTATTTTTTTTTATATTCTATAAGATACAGGCCTCTATACATGGGGTATTAAAGCTAAGTTTTTCTGTTTCAGCATGTTTGCAAATTTTTAGCCAACTTTGAAGTGTCATAACGTCTTCATTATTTGTCAAATTAACCTAATTTATATTTCAGCTTGTAGTTCACAATTTAAAATACATTTTACACTAATTAAATGCGTTATTTTGTTGTATATTCAGTGAGATGCAGACCTTTAAACATGGGGTATTAAAGTTGAGTTTTCTGTTTCAGCATGTTTGCAAATTTTTAGTCAACTTCAACGTGTCATAACGTCTTTGTTATTTGTCCGATTAACCCAAAAAAAAAATTCCAGCTTCTAGTTCAAAATTTAAACTATATTTTACATTATTTAAACGCATTATTTGGTTGTATATTCAATGAGATGCAGGCTCCTAAATAAGGGTTAGTAAAGCTGTATTTTTTACAAAAAAAAAAAAAAAATACTAACATTTATTTTATTATAATAGATCTTACATATGTTCGAGATGTTTTGACCCCCACAAAATAAGATTGCAACATTTGTAGAGCAATTGTTGGATATCTCGAGAAAGTCAAGGTGAAAACTGACATAGTATCAACGTCAAAAAAACTGATGGCACGTCGTTTTTTTGGAGAAATATGTGATTTGTACAAACACATTAAGGAATGGACGGCTAGTCCCCAATTTTGTTTGATCGAGAAGGACATGATTGAAAAATACGATAAGTATTGGGCGATCTTGAAAAATTAAACGATTTTTTGTATTTTGCGGTCATATTAGATCTACGGTTCAAGTTTGATTTTCTTCAACAAGCCTTTGAGAAGTTGATTAAGTTGAAGAATACAAAAAAAAAAAACAAAAAAAAAAATCCCATGCTCAACTCGGAAGTCATTTTGAAGGCTAAGGCCCTAATACAAGGTCTTCAACAAAGATTTGAGATATTTTTTATTTCTACAAATCAAAGTTTGACAATACTGACTCTTCTAAAAATCAAACACATGGTCATGAAGATGTAATTGTGATTGATGACGAGAACGACTTCATTGGTGATTTAATAGTACAAACTTATTACCCACCGACATCAATAGAAACGAGGTTGATATGATAACTAAACGAGCAGTCAGTTAAATACAATAAAGATTTTTGACATTCTACTTTGGTGGAAACAAAATGCATCTCTTTACCCTACTGTATCCTGTATGGCGAAAGGTATAAATTTATTATTTGTATACTTTTTTATAATTATATTTTAACATTTTCTATGTTTAACTTGATAGATATATTGGGACTACAAATCTCTACTGTGACGTCAAAAGTGGCGTTTAGTACAAACGGGTGGACATTGGATCGATATCGAACAAATTTGTCTACAACTATAATAGATGATTTGGTTTGCACCCAAGATTGGGTAAGGAAATCAAGAAGACCTATTGTGGACAACTTGATGAAATTTTGAAAGATGATGAGGCTGCGAAAGCTTTAGAAAAGGCGATAAACAATGGAGATGGAAAGGAAAAACAACCAATTAATATTCCCGAATAGTTATTTCGTGTTTGAAAAATGTTATTTTGGATATGGTTAAAAACTTAAGATTCATATTTTAATTTGGGTGTGGAATGTTTAATCTTTAACTTATATACTTTTATATAGATATTTGGGTGTTTGGGGTGTTAATGTTTAGTGTTTAATATGTTCCTTCATAGCTATATCTTAAGATTTTGGTATTTTGATTTTACATTTTAATCAAGAATAGTTAATGTGTGTTATCCGTGTTTATATTCTTAGTACATAAATTCTAATTCTTTTTGCACCTTTGAAACAGTTATATATACTTTGTATTATTTTTAATTAACAAATTTGTTCCTCTAAAAGATTTGTTATAAAATCATAAGCTATAAAAGTCATACAAAATACAATATTTGTAATCACATTGTACATGTTATTTGGGTTATTCGGGTTATATAATCATAATAGGTCGTTAATCATCTTATACATGTTATTTGGGTTATTCAAATCGGAATCGAACTGAACCGAATAATACCCAAACCGAACCGAATAATACCCAAACCGAACCGAAAGCATATTTCTTATTTTGTTCGGTTTTTGGTTCATACAATTACCCTTATTCGGTTCTCGGGTTATTGAGGTTTGGATCGGTTCGGTTCGGTTCTAGCCCGAATAACATCCCTACTTCTACGGACAAAAGTTAGGTAAGAAATGATTAAGGAGAATGAACACCCAAGAATTATAATAATTTTCTGATTAGGAATAGGCAGTCTCACTTTAAAAGTTTAGACAATGCTAGATAATCATCATGAGTGGGTGACTCAGTGTCATCTTAATAGATGGTCTTGCCGATGAGATACTTAGACCATGTTCCCGAGTTTCATTTAAAGGAAAGAAAACAAAAGAAGAGAAATGTGGAGAGAAAAGAGAAGAATGGAAAAGAAAGTAAAGTGTATTTTTCTGTTCCCGAGTTCGAGAGAAAGGAAAGGAAAATTATTTTCCTTTGTGTTCCTGAGTTGGAAGGAAAAGAAATGAAAACTAAAAATGGACAATTATACCCTTGTCACCTTTTTCCATAATTCCAAATAGATAATTTCAATAAACCTAAACCAAAAATAACATAAATGTATGAATAATCAAACACATTCATAAGTAACCAATTTAAATTCAATGGAAGAATAATCAAATGAAATCCAATGTATGAGCTCAAAGCAAAAACCAAAAACTATGAAGTCAAACTGATAAAAAATAAAAAAACCATCATCCTAAGTAAGTCATTTACTTGCCCTGTCATTTTTTTCAGCAAACTTTTTCATGTTTTAAATGGAACTCTAAATAATGTCCCGACATCAATCTTTGATTTCGCAACAAAAACATGAGAGCTTCTGCTAATTCATCGGGTTCCAAATCCATTGGCTCTAAATCTTTATAAATTTCATCACCTGTATAAACCCGATGATGAGAGTTTTCGAAGATTTTGTTACCCTCCCTCATAGCAGAAGCCACATCTTTAACTGCACTCATAATAACCTTTTCAAACGATTCAGGTTCAACTTCAAGTTATCTTCAACTTCAATTTCATGTTTCCTTTTTTTTACTTTTGTAATTCTTAGAACTTGAATTTTGCACCTGCGAAAAGCATGTAGGAGATAACACTTGAATATCATCAAGACCATCATCATCATCATCATCATCTTCATTATTTGTTTGTTGTTTCTCAAGTGTTATGCCATTGCTTGCTAGTAACTGATCAACTTCTTCAATTGTTTCTACTTTGATATCCCCAATCCTTTTCAATCGAGCATTCTTCTTTTTCGGGGTTTCAACATATACCCCTGAAGCCCTATCTTTCGCAAACAAAGCTATCATTTCATTGTAGTTTGGAATTTTTTTGGTCTTCAATGAAATTGCATCTGGATTTGACTGTAACACACAATCCCAAATACAATTATTGTTAATAAAAATAACATAAATGTATACAAACTAAGTAACATGCAATAAAAGAAACTTACATTAATTAGTTTGGCCCACACTTCCTCGTCCGCTTCATTGAGTTGTGTTTCAAAATTCCAACCGAACCCACTCAATGAAGTTCCGCGGAACATGTCATACCATTGTGAGAAACCTGATTTTAAAGTTTTCAAACGATTTTTTAAATTATTTTTTTGTTAAACTCTTCCCAAACTTTTGATTAAGCTCCTCCACCATGTTGGTGTACGCTTGTGGGATGAAGCTCCCACTAATCCATAATCCTTTCTCATCTTGTGTCATCATAGATTGAATAAAACAATAATCCATCCAATATGTCCATTTTAGTTGTTCTTTTTTAGTAACTTGTTCTTCTTTAATCATTTTGACCTGCATAACATCATAAACAAACAAACCATGCATTGATAACATAAAAAATACATACTTAGAGGATGTACATATAATGAGTAAATAACATGTTAAAAAAGAGAAATAACACAAATAAAGTTAAAACACTAATGATTCATACAAAATCAAGTCAAACATAAAAGATCCATACAAAATCAAATTGAATGCTATAATAAAAACTAGTAGCTACATTGACATATATATCTCATGGTTTCGATTTGGCAAGTAATTAGTCCACATTTGATTTGCAATTAAGTTCCTCATTTCTCTTCCGCAACATTAGCTTGACTTGTCACTATTATATTATGGCGTATTTCCTCTCTTGGTTCATTTAACATCACCTGTGGTACCTCATCTTCAAGATTTTTGTCTCAATCTTCTTCTAACAAAAAGTTATGTAAAATACAACATGCCAAGAAAATGTCTGATTATGTTTCACAAGAATAAAAAGGTTCTTGTGTACTTCTAATGATAGGAAACCTTTTCTTTAGAACATCGAATGCCCGTTCGATAACGTTACATTGTTGGGCTTATTGTGTTGCGTCTTAGGGCTTTTTGTATATATCCGGATTGGGCCTGTCCATCCGTGATTATCTCTTAGGGTTAGACTCTATATATGCATGCATGTATGCATTATTGTTCGATGTCTTTTTAATTACGCTTGAGTTTTGTAACCCTAAAACACCTCTGCAGTTGAAATTCTTAATCGAGCTCTTCTGAGGTGTTGAAGCATTAATCATTCAACGTATTCAAGCCATATTCGTGTTTACTTTTACGCACTTATTCGTTTGCATGCTTAGAATCAATCGATCCTGATAGAACTACGTTCTAACAATTGGTATCAGAGCAGGAGATTGTGTGATCAATACGCATTCCTTCTGTATTCAGAATTCCTTAAGGTTTCCACTTTTATCGTATAAATAACAAGTTGTCTTTTTTGTTTCGACGGCAACTTTGTTTTAGATAAAACCCTAATCTCAAGTTTACAGGTTTGATTCTAAAAGCTCACCATGTCTCACGAAGATTCGCAAACAAATCCCATCAACATCTCAAACACTATTGGATCTACAACCAGGATACCTATTCTCTACACTCATGTCACACCCCCGAACCAGACGGCGGAAACGTTCGGGAGCTGTTGTGACTCAATTGAATACCATCACAATGAATATACATGAAACATAACATCTTTCGTCACCAACATTTGAATATTACAACTGATAGAGTTTACATCCATTACATTGTCTCAAAACATTACATTCCCAAAAATAAATTGTTCAGTTCGTTAATAGATAAACTGCAAGCCATCACTGAGTACATTTTCCTTTGATTCACTGGTTACCTGAGAATACAAGTATTTTGAAAAAAACGTCAACATGTGAAATGTTGGTGAGTTCATAAGCGATATTTAGGAAAACAATGTTTTGTATCATTTTGAAAACCACCAGAAATTCCGATATTTTCTGAAAAGAAAAGCTTTTTAAAACATTTGTGAAGATCCATAGGTATGCTTGTTTGTTTCTATTTTTGTAAAAATTGTTCATTAAACTTGTATACATTTCGAAACCGTATGTATTGAAAAACCCTAGGAAAACCCGATGTTTTCCTGCTTCTTTGAATTCCGTGAAGTTAAAATAAAACCATTGTAACACGTGAAGTCATTAATTCCAGGCGACGTCGGATTATTTTTGCGCATGATTAATTGCTATAAACAAGCATTACACAAACGACCAGTTTATAACTATACTAACAATCCCATAGGCGTCGTCCGTACTAATCACGTTATCCAACCGCCCTGACTCCGAGTAATCCCACATCCGAAGAGAAAGAGGACACGAAGACCCCGATGTCTCCATTAACCGGTTGGGGATAAAAAAAGAAAGGGTACGAGGGGCCCTTGACCCGCCTCGCATGAAATACCGACTTTACTAGCAATACCATAGGACCCTTGGGGACCAATGGTATAAAAGCCATTGAAAGTCCTTTTACGCTGTGTTAGATCATGTAAGACCCAACAACTCGTAAGGTAGAAGTCTTCGGGCCTTAAGCTCAGGTCATTGGGCTAGCTAGACCCAACAAACAAGATTTTACACTTTGGGGCCCAAAGATGGTGCGTAGACGTCTGTGCACTCTCACGTGTATATTGAATTACCAAATGTTTTCGTGTATGAATCGAGTTATTGTCGTGTTAGTATTTTCAGATTGTTATTACGTAGGCATTCGCGGTTCCAATATTTGATCAAGTTGCGTGTATTGAATTAGCCTTGAAAGTTTTCTGTTTTCAGCCCCTCATTGTTTGTAAAATTTACTCTTTTCAACCCTCTAATTAAATAATTTTCCGGTTTGGTCCTTAAATCATTTTTCTTGACATTTTACACCAAAAATTATTGAAATTAATATTTTTCAGCATATTTTTCATTGAAAACAGTTTAAGTCCCTGAAATTGCAGTTTTCTCGGTTATAGCCCCTCTTTTTCGCAGTTTTTACAATTTTGGCCCAAATTGGAAATTTTTTGCAACTTTGGTCCTTTTTAAATTGGAAAAGCATTTTAAACCTTTGAAAAGTACTTGGAACCTTAGTAGTCCACTGTTTTACAGAAAAACACAGTTTTGGCCCTCCAAAACAGAAAATTTCGCATAATGGGCCCTATTGGGCCGAAATTGTCATTTTTAGCCCATTAAGCTTGAAATTTATATTTTTAATCCTCCAAATGAGTATATTTTCAGAAAATATTTCATTGAAACTGTTTGACACTCCTCATCCATCAGAATTCGTGATATGACATTTTGGGCCCTTTAACTTTATATTTTTATCATTTTATGTCCAAAAATTGAGTTTTTAGTCCAAATAAAATGTTATTAAGCCATTTAGCTATTTTTCTTGGAACACTTTGTATGTAGAAATATACTTGATGCTAGTATCATTAATCATAAAGTATATCTCGGTTTTTAGGGGTTTTAAGGCTAGATCCAACATTATAACACACAAAAACACACATATAAGCATAGAAATCATACAAGGCATACAAAACATATATAGATCTACACTTTCACTTGTATTCCCCCCCCCCACAAAACTCATAAAAACAGAAAATAGGGGGTATGAAGCTCACCTTAGGGTGTGGTTTCGGTTTTGGAGGAGAAATGGAAGAAAGTTTGGTGATTTTTCGGCCCTAGCACCCTTTGATGAAAATCTCGGCCTTGAGGTGTTTCTAGGATACAAGATCATGATTTCTCATGAGTTAAGAAGAGATTTTTGATAGATCAAGGAACCAAGATCATAGAATTTAGTATAACCTTACCTTGGAGGGTGATTTTTGTGAAAAATCTCCTTGGATTGTCCTTATTTCTCGAAAATTTTATGAAGAGAGGGGAGGTGTTCTTGGAGAGTGTTTGATATGTAAGGAGTGATGAAAGTGTGTGTGTGTGGGTGCTTTCGGCCGAGGTCAAGAAGAAAGAGGAGAGAAATGGTTGAGTTGACATTCATAGATGTATGTTGGTCCATGCATGGAAGTATGTTGGACATAAGTGAGGTGGCATGAAGAAGTCAACTCCTCACCACTTCTTCTTGGGCTTGGGCCTTGGGCTGAGAATCTTGAAGGAAAAGGAAAATTTGGGCTTTTTGCCCCTAAGCCCAATATTAGAGTTAGTTTGGGTGAGTTTTAACATAAAAGAATACAGTATGATTTTTACATATTTGTTGGACTAGTTTAGGTTATTCATGGATCAAGCTTTTAATTCATTTCATTCTAGGCCCAATATGGCCCAAAATGTTGAAATAAATGAATGTGGGTCCAATTAGAGCCCATTTAAGGTTCTAAGCCCATGATAGTCAAATTGGAAGCTTATTGGTCCATTGAGTCCAATAAGGAAGTCCTAGTCCAAAATGGACCTAAACAAGAACTTCTAGGGTTTCCAATTGCTTGTTGACTATTTGTAGTACTTGTATGATATTTTTGATTGACATTTTTGATGTCATATAATAAGCATCACACATGCTCTTAAGTTTTTGATTCAACATTTTACTTGAGTATAGAGATTACAAGACACAAAATTTCTAGTTGTGGCAACTCAAGACTACAAAGTATGGGCACATCACTTCGAAGACTATGTGGTTGGATCTGAAGAAAACGACTATCTCATCTGGGAAGCTATAACCCTTGGGCCGTTTATTCATCCAAGAACAAGCCCAACTGTCAAGATGCAAAAGGAATATAACAAGTTGATTGCTGATGGATAGAAGATGCCACATGATGAAAAAGACAAGCTACTGTGTAATGTGAAGGCCATTTGACCAATCCAATGTCAAAGTAGCTTCTGAAAATAAATTAGACTTAGAACATACGTCTGAATTTGATGAAGAAAGTGAGATGAGCGAGATATCTGTAAAAGACGTAGTTGATTGCTCTGATTTTATGAAGAGCAAAACTGAGAATGAGCAACCACTAATCTCAGAAAATTCAATGGAATTTGCTCGTCTAGCAAAGGATAAGGAAAAGAAGCTTAACGAAAAGGTTGTGGTTTATCAAAAGGATCAAACTATGCCGAACCAGGTATATGCAACAAAAGGAATCACTTCTAGACAAATATCAGAGCTAAGAGTCTTGGTGGAAAAGGACAAAGTAGAAGGATGCGAATATTTCTTTTGGTCCGCTCCTATTGATAATGCAAACGAAACAGTAGACTTATCTGAGCAGACTTCTTGGAGAGTTAAAGGAAGGTATGTAGCT